GGAGCAGGGGGAGGAGGATTTGGGCCAGAAGAATTAGGCTGCAAAAGGACGCTGGGTGCTTTAACACTTGCACTCCGTGCCTGTCCCGGGGGTCAAGGAGGTGGGCGGGCTGAGCGATCTGTGGGGCCTCGTCTCTCCCCCAAAGGGGTCGGACCAGGAAGAGTCTGTCCCCCAGGTGGCTGCGGATCCGAGCCACCTGTCCCTTTAAGAAAGTTGTGCCCGCGCGGTGGGAGGGGACTGCGGGGCCGCGAGGGGCGCCCGGGTGTACGCGCCTGGCCCCTCTGCCCTGCGGCGGGAGAGCCCGAGGTCGCCCGGGGCCGTGGAGGCTCGGGCGCTCGGGGTACCGCGCTGCGAGCCCAGCCGGGCGGGGCCGTTGAGGCCAGGGCCCGCCTGTGGGCCGCGCCCCGCCCCCCCCGCCGCGGGGAAGGTGCGCGGACCCGGGCCGACGGAGAAAGTCTGCGTTTCCGGTCAGGAGCCCTGGAGCCTCGGGTGGAGTCGTTGCTGTGGTCGCAGTAATGATAGGCACCGTCACCCCCACCCGTGTGCACATAAGCCTGCTTCTCCTCCTTCGCACCCGTGTCTGGGGTGGGAAGGTCCCTTTTTTGGGTACGGGGGGGTAGGAAGCCCAGAGCAGTAGTGAGTGCGCCCAGTGTTGTTGGGCAGCAAGGAGCTTGGAGACAGCTGGGGGTGGGGAAGGGGGCACGAACTTCCTAGGGAATCGTTCCCCCCGAGAGAGAGCACCATCAATTCCCTACACTGATTTTCGTTTGGTGAGGTCTTTCTCATTGAAAGGGCTGGAGGGGCCACGGATTTAGCTCATTGGCACCGTGCCTGCCTCGAAAGCGAAAGGTCCTGAGTTCGAATCCAGATACCGGGAAAAAAAGGGCTGGGGGAGGAGACCCAGCCCACGCGTCCGCGGTGGCCTCCATCTGTGCAAGTCAGTCTAAACTAGGACCCTATCTAACCCAGGATAACCATATTCATCACCATCAGGGGACACAAATCATTGTGACACAGTCTGTCTTTTACTCAATTCTTCCTCTCACCACCGGGCTGCATACACAAGGATTTGGGCTGGGGTTGCTTCTCTGATGGGATAATGTCAATCTGTTTCCTAACTGGGCCCACCAGAGAAGCAAGCAGCAGAAGGGCTGGGGTTGGGGGGAGCGGTGCAGAGACAGGGCAGCAAGAGACACTGATCAATTGAGGGGAAACTCCACATCTCTCATTGAAGGGCTGGTGACCACAAGCAAAATGACTAACCCACTAGGACGTTCCTTGCCAGCTAATTTGACTTATTTTTTCTTTTGGTACCGGGATCGAACTCAGGACCTTGCACTTGCAAGGCAGGTGCAGCGCCACTGAGCTAAGTCCCTGACCCTAACTTGACTTTAGAGAACATGAAGGGAATTTTGGCTGCACATGAATGGACTTGAAGAACCTCATGGAGCTTCATGAGACTGATGGAGTGACCCAGATTAATGTCCAGTATGGAGGGGTGCAGAATTAGCCGTACAGTGAAAACCTCCCATGAGAGGTAAACTGTTTCAGGGTGGGGAACTGGAGGAAGGTGGCAAGTGTTTCAGAATATTGTTTTCCAGCTTCTTGGGATGGCACCTTTCTGAAGATCCACTTGCACATTTTTGTCTGGTGGAAAAAGTATGACATTTGGAGCACTGAAAGGAGGTGAAGCCATATAGAGCCATTTCTCTCCCAGAGATGATATTTAGGGACTGTGGTATTCTCTGAAAATCATTCTTTCCTTTTCTTTCTGCATCAATGTACAGAAAGGAAAATAGTTATGATATTTTTACCAGTAAAAGTTAAGTCCCTTTTAAAAAAAGTTCTTAGATCACATGTATGGCTTGAGGCAGTGCATAGAGCCCTTGTGATGGGCCTTGGACCACTCCGGTTCTATGTAGGCACTCACAGAAAGTTGGTGTGGCCACTGAAGTGAAGACTGTGCCATCTTCACATGGCCCTGGGAACCTATGACACCCCTGGATTTTGGCAATGGCACCAGCAGGGCACCACAGTATTGATTATGCCCAAAGCAGGCTGTAAGCAGTGCAGACTGTAAAGAGTTAACCCCACAATTGACTTGTTGTGAGAAGCAAGTCCGGCCAAAGCCTACGTGCTAAGGTCAGAGTAACTTGCACTCAAATTCCATTCTCACAATTAAAACCTTCTTACTATAAGGATAATGTTCTAATTACAACCATACATTTTGTCTATTCTGTTCCTAATTTTAGAATGCTTTGCCTTGTCTTTTATGAGCCTTGCTTACATTAATTTCCATAGAAACTGCACGACTTTGCATCATCACATATAGTTCTCCCCTTGCACATAGTACCTTGCCTTTACCCCAACTGATTACCAATAAATATCAGTGGCTTGGACTGGCCAGGACTTTTGTTGGTTGTACTGACACTGGTCATCCTGGCACCCTGCTTTCTGGCTCTCTTAGTTCTTTTAGTTTTTTTCCCTCAGGCCTGCATCGTTCACTGGGCAGGAGACCGGAGCCTACTGCAGAGGTTTCCAGTAATGTTTCAGGGGTCCCCAGTAGGCACTCAAGGTGGGCCTGCTGATGCTAGGGCTGCAGGCATCCACTGCCGCTGCCTCACTTGTCCACGCCTTAGGCACTCAGCTACCAGACTTTACTTCCAGGGATCTAGATTCTCTACCAGCTCAGGTCGAACTCCTGGAAGTAACTCTTTTAACCATAGGCCCTCCTTTCCCTTGCTTTCTTATGCCTCAGTTCCTCCTCCTGCTTCTGAATCTGACTCCTTTAGTGTTCAATAACATAACTGATAAGCATGTATAAATCTTTATTGGGATTCATGGCCTGTCCCAGAATTCCACAGAAGGTAGCATGCAGATGTTGAAGTAACAGTGAGTGAAACATATAATATAAATTCCAAGATAGGATCGAGTGTGAGGGTAGAAGAGGGGATTTGTTTCCTCAACATGTATCTCCCAGTGTCTGGAATGTTTTTTTTGTTTTGGTACCAGGGATTGAACTTGGGTCTTTGTGCTTGCACAGTAGGCGGTGAAACCACTGACCTAAATCCTCGGCTCCTGGGTTTTTTTTAACCAAGTTGTTTGATTTCAAAATCTCATAGATAATACTGTATAAATGTGCATAAATTGAGTATGGTATTTGCAAACACAGCTCTCTTGTACGTACAGAATATCAGTTTGCTGCTGCAATTCAGCCAGCTGTGGCATGCTCTGCCCTGTGGTCTGTACAGCTCCCACCACTTGCTGAATGTTGGGCATGTGAGGCATGGTATGCACTGGGGCCTGAGTGCCTGGAGACAGGCTGAATGCTCACCATCAGCCTTTCACTTCCCATTCTGCTTTGGTGAGAAGTGGCTGGACCATCACTGTTTTCCCCTTTGTGCCTCTTTCAAACGTCTGATGGACATTTTTTAAATTTTACTTTTTTCTTGGTACCGGGATCAAACTCCATACCTTGCACTTGTGAGGAAGGCAGTGGAACCACTGAGTTAAATCCCCGGGCATCTTAAATTATAATCTTAAAAAATGCTTTATTCCTTTTCACACTTCCCTCTTTGCCTTAACTTTGTGGACTATGTTCTCAGTAGGCATGTTAGCCATATGAAATCTTGTGCACAATGCAAGAAGGAACCAGCTCTTCCAGACTATGAAGCAGAGTTCTAAAACAGGTGTTTCTACTGCTCTCTGGGGAAGTTTTAAGGAAGTACCAAAGATATTGCACAGGCTTAAACTGCTTGACACCCCATTTCCCTTAGTGGCTGTGATTTCTGGTTCCAATACAGTTGTGCCTCTAAGTGTTTGTACCTCACTTCTCCAGCCAGTGACACTTACAGCATGGGTGAGGTATGTGTATATGCTGAGAACACCAGGCATGACACATTTCTGGCCCCTGGTGTTACCTGTGACTTGCTTTGAGGCTGAGGGTTTAGATTTGGGATAAGCTTCAGAAAAAATGAAGAGGTATGTATTTCATCTAAAAAACAAAAATTACAATTTTCCGTTTCCTTTCTACCTATCTTTATTTCTTCTATCTTTCCATACCACCAGTGCACATTCACGCGTGCACACACACACACAACCGGCCTGGTGTTTCTGTTGTTTTTAGAGGGTTTATTTTGGCACATAGTTTCAGAGGTTCAGTACATGGCTGGCTGGTTCCATTGCTGTGAGAACAAGGTGAGATGAGGCGGCACATTATGGCTTTAGGGCTTGGCAGAGCAAAATTACTCATTCTCATGGCATTGGAGAAACAGACAGCAAGGAAAAGAGCCAATGCCCATGCTCTGGCCTGGTGTTTTCTCACAGCAGTGGGGGGTTTGGGTTACTGAGGGAAGTTGAGCTCAGGCATAAAGTTAGGGTGTGAGCAGAGAGGTACAGGAACTCCGCATACTGTGTACCTCTCTGCCCAACACACTTGCAAACTGTCCACATAGAACGAGTGATTTTCCAGGTCAAGAATTGGAGCACCAGTCTAGCAGTGAGTGAAGTGACTTCTCTCTGGAAGGTGGAGAAAAGTGGGACTGAGAAAGATTAAGGCACAGGGATCCTCTACCTAAGGCCAAGTGGAGTTTGATCCCAGCCTTTTCTATTTCCTCCACTTGCATTTCAGCACTACATCTCAGCAGCCCATGGGGTAGCTCTAGGAAATGGAAATAGTCATAAACTCTGCATTCCTCTGGATGCCCCAAAGTAGTAAATCGGCCCAGGAGGGCAAAAACAAACTTAACTGAGAGGCTCAAATTTGCGTTTGGTTTGATTTCTGGGTCTGTGGCCTGGCAAGATGCCAATCTCTCTCAGCCGTGACACACCACCACGGCTGGGGTTTCTGCTGGAGATATGAGTCCTGAACAGCAAGTTCGGTGGGGGACAACCTGGCCCTGACCCGGAGACTGCCGCTCCACCCAACCCAGCACAGGATCCCAGCCAATAACCCCACCTTGCACCAATTCCTCCACAGGGCAAGGAAACCAAGACAGCTGTGGTCTCCAAACAATTTATTTGTCTTGATGAGGGGGGGGGTTCCTTGGGGGAGGACGGGTACAAAATACTGGGCGAAGGGACCCTGGAGGGGGTGGTGCAGGTGGATTCAGGCAGAAGGGCCCTCAAGCGAAGGTGGAGCCGTTCCAGCCCACATTGGCCGCATTCATGTCGTAGTAGTTGATGTAGATCCTGGGAGGGGCAAGGGAAGAGACAGGTAAGCGGGGCTCAGGACCGCAGTGTCTCCACGTGCTGGCCGTGGGCTGCCAGCGCCCTCAGAGGTCCGCGTTCCCCGCCCCTCGGCGCCCCCACGCACCTGTCCGGACTGATACGCAGGCGCTCCGCCAGCAGGCCACACAGCAGCTTGCTGTACGAGCGATTCTGAACGCCGCCTATCTTGCCGATGCTGTGCAGGCTGCAGAGCGCGCAGGGCTCGGATGAGCCCGCGAAGGTCATGAGCTGGTCCGGGACCACGTGCACTGCGATATACTGGGGGGAGGGGCACGCTCAGCTCGCCGGAGCCGCCCCGCTAGACCCCAGGCGCGCCCTCCGGGCTCGGAGCCCCCATCCTCCCGTCTCATCCCCGACCCCCGCTCAGATCCGTCCACCTCGTCTGGCCATCCTCTCTTCCCATCTCCTCCCTGCAAACCTGGGCCGGCTTGCCAGTGGCCTGCGCCAGCTGCTGGGTGAGCTCGGAGAGGAACCCGTCCGGCACAGAGGCGCGGGGCACGTTGGTGTTCAAGACGAACATCGGCATGTTGGCGGGGAGACGAGGGCAGAAACCCCGGACTACACTCAGGCGGCCGCAGCGGAGGAACCTGAGCTACGTGACCGGGACACGGCACCGCCTCCAGGCGGAGGCAGCTCCGCCTCCCGTGACGCCACCGCCGGCTCACGGGGTGGGGCCCTGGTCGACACGCCCTTTCCTCCCACGGCTTCCGCTTCCCGTGTCCCTGTTCAGATCCCTTCCTGTGGCACCGGAAGTCTGCCTGTCTCATCCACTCCTTGTTTCATTTAGTCCTTTCACTTGCTCACTAATAGTTACTCAGAGGTGCTGAGCCAGGAGTGAGGACGAGGCCGTTAACCGGGCCGATGGCCCCTTGCCCTCTGGAGCTCGGCCCATTCTACTGCACCTACTGATTCCTTGTGTGTCCTGAGTCTCCCGAGCCACGTGTTCCCATAACGCGCGCGTGAGCTTGTGTGTGTGCTCTGCAAGGCAGATGAGGATGGTAGGAGGCCCTGAGGGGAGGGGTAGGGAGCAGGAAGTGAGACCGGAACTCTGCTGTTCAAAGGTGCTCCTCCAGGCCTCAGTGTGCAAACCCAATCTGGTCAAACCCCAAACCCTACCCTAGGCTAGTTCCCCTCCTTAGGGAAGCCCCAGTCTGGTCGATCTAGCAGGGATGCCCTCTCTTGGAGCCCTTGGAGGATTTTGTCTCTTTCATGAATGGCACCCTCAGGGAGCATCTAGCAGCTGGTCAATATCCAGGAGACATCAGGGATGGGCTAAATAAACGGAGGAGTGAATGAAGATAGCCATGACACAACAAGAAGAGAGCAAGGTGGCAAGTGGATTAGGGTCCTGCCATGCAGGGTAGAATGAGTCTTCAGGCCCTCCCACCAGTGGGCAAAGGGATCTGTGGCCCATAGCCAGCCCTACTCTCACGCTGAGGAGGCCTCCAGTCAGGACACTCACTATGCTGCAGGACTGACCTCAGACCCTTGATGGGGCATGTTGCATTTGGGCAAGTCTTTGGTATTCCCCAGGAAGGTGCTGCCCTTGATCGCTGGCAGGCACAATGTAGTTATGATGGTACAGTACCCACTGGCCTTGGTGATTGCCATGTGGCACAGTAACGACATGAGGGCCTGCAAGACTGCTGTGCCACTAGCCAGCCTCCAGTGAGGGGACCCCATGGTCTGTTTATGAAAGTAGCCTGTAAGTGTTGGTTCCTCCAACTGGGCCCAAAGCCCTTCGCTTCTAGATCTCACACCCCCAGTCCTACTTGAGCCCAGGGCTTTGTGACTACTGATGCACTGTTGACACTCCATGCGATGTCTCCGGCTAAGGGAGCTTCTCTGAGCCCCAAGAGCCAAGAACAGCCAAATCAGCATTTCCTTCCCCCATGTCCAATCTAAGTGCATGACTTTTCCTCCCACACCTGACTCCCTGCCAGTGAAATTTGCCTCCCTCCACTGTTCCTATATCTTCACTTCTCCCCATCTGCCACCACCACCACTGCCACTACCACCTAGTCTACACTAGCTGGCAGTACCTTTCTGCTCTTGTTTTCTCCTGCTCTGATACCCATGGTGGGCTGCTCCTCTTGGAGTGAGGAGTCTCCATTCCCACAACACAAATTTGGTCTCTGATCGGACACACATGTTTAAATACTGCATTATTTCTCTGGTGTGAGAAAGAAAGTGGAAATAAGGACTAAAATGTATAATGGATGTTGAGAAATGGGAAGAAAGTCTTCAAATGGGAAGGAGAACAAGGGAGGAGGGAGGGAGAAAGAAAGGAAGAGATGAGAAAAAGTGAAAATAGAAGGAAAAATGAAAACAAAAACAAATTTGGTCCAGGCCCCTCCTCTTGGAAGTCAGATGGATTCTGTTTCCTTCCAACCTTTCCTTTGCTCATATAAGGCCTTTCCCATTTCCATGTAACAGTACCTGTGGTGTCACTGAGACCTCCCTAGCACCTGCACCTAGAGACAGCCATCTGTCTCTCTCGGTTTTCATATCCCTGGGCCTCAAAAGCACTGTCATCGTCTCCCTGCAAAAACAGCCTTGTGTGTATGGATGTGTAACTCCATGGAGCTGAGTAGGTGAGGAGTTGGCATCTGTATTAGTCACTTTCCCATCACTGGGACAAAATATCTGACATATACAACATAAGGAAGAGGTTTCTTTTAGCTCATGGTTTCCAAGGATTCAGTTCATGGTTGGCTATCTGCAAGGCAGAAATGTCCTGGTAGAAGGACATGGTAGAGGAAAGCTGCTCAACTCATGGTGGCCAGGAAGCAGAGAGAGGGAGAGAAAGAGCCTGAGTGATGCCAGGTGTGGTGGCACATGCTTATAATCCCAGGACTCGAGATTCTGAGGCAGAAGGACTGCCTTGAATTCAAGGCTAGCCTGGGCTACATAGTGAGTTCGTGAACCTGAACTACATAGCGAGAGCCTGCCTCAAAAAGACAAAAAAAAAAAAAAAA